ACAAATGCACACACATACACACACACAAATGCACGCACATACGCACGCATATACTGACACACACACGCACGCGCACACACACACACACGTAAGTCTTCACATACTTGGGCACATACTGTCGACGTATGCTGTCTACTGTCATGTCCACACAGCTCACCACAGAACATTCACACCACACAACTTATCACAGAACATTCACACCACACAACTCACCACAGAACATTCACACCACACAACTCACCACAGAACATTCACACTACACAACTCACCACAGAACATTCACACCACACAACTCACCACAGAACATTCACACCACACACCCGGCGTCTGGGCTTTGCCGTCTGCCTCAGGGCTTAGACTGTTGTCTCTTTCCCACAGTGGACAGGAGTGAGCCATGGGAGGGCAGAACAGTTCTCCTCACCACACACACAAAGCAAAATCTCACACACACTAAAGCATCCTTCTCTCACACATACACACACACACACACACACACACACACACACACACACACACATGACACCTTTTTAGCTATGTGTATGCATGTGAACTGTCACTTAATTTAACTATGTACACATGTTCTTTTCATACCAACAAAAACACAGCCACATACACACTCAAAAACACACACACACACATACACACCCACACACCAGGGTAACACCTGGGACAGACGACAGAGCTCACTACTGGCACTTCCAGCCTCAGCCAGAAGCACCATGATTTCATTGAACACTTCATCAATGACTAAACATGGAGGAACTCAAAATTCCCCTTTCCCTTCATCAATGACTAAACATGGAGTAACTAAAAATTCCCCTTTCCATCAATCAGGACCCCTAATTCAAATCCGCAATCGTTCTCCAATCTACCACTCCAAATTAAGCTTTCACCATAAAACAAACACAGCTCAAATATCCTGCACGACGCACGTGTGTCCTCCTTTTTCACTCGAGCATTTCGCTACCTCGGAATTCAATACCTAGTTTTGAGAAATATACCGTCAAATTTTTTTAGTTTCACAACATGCCAATTTTTTCGAATGCAATTCTTTGAATATCTTGATAACAACTCTAAATGTGAGGCAGCGTGGTGGAATCAGGCTCTCGGCAATTTTTGGGCATGTAGAGTTATTGGTATCATCTTAAAGCTTGTTCAATTGTCTTTATTTGGATGAAAAAAATATCCATTTATCTTGAATACAAGTCGAGATATTTGCGAATGAAGGAGGTGGGGGTCACCTGTTTTCAGAGGTAAAATTAATGAAAAAAAGACCGCCAAAGATTCGTTATTACCTTATCTTAAGAGTCCGTGGTAACTGAAAATGTACATTTTTTGTGCCTTTAATCAATATTTTTCAGAAAAATCAACACAGAAATGGGTTTTTAATGGGCATGAAAGGTGTTGAGCCAAAAAACAAAAATTTGAAAAAAAATTAACCAACCTGTTGAAAAATGCAAGTTTCTTCACTTTGATTATTTTGCAGAGAGCCTGATTCCACCACACTGCCTCACAAATATTCTTACGATTTTGATAGAGCAGACAGAACATTAGCTTTCTGACCTCATGGTCTTAGCAACTCAAAATGGCCAAACACGTCAGCTAAAATTGTATAATTCTGAGGTAGCGATGAAGAACAGCCAGTTTGAGAAACCTCCTCAGGCTCTCCTCAGACGACCATTTCTTCACAAAGTGTCGGCCACTGCTCCTTCTGGAACTCCCACCACAATCCTGCCGTAAACTGAAAAAAAACCGCCTTGTTTTATTCACAGCAGTTTCCAAGCAAAATAGGTGTTTTTTTTGTCAGAGTAACCATTTAAATATAGAGCTATCCCAAAATTTGAATTCTATTTTTTTTAAAAACCTAGTCAAGTTCACTTAGATTTTTTCCTACAAGTAGGGTAACTGATCAAGCTTTCAATTTGACCACAAAAAAATTTGGTGCCAAAATAAAAAAACTGGCCTTTTGTCAGTTTATGGCAGAATAGAGGCTGGTCACTCCAGCACACACAGGCACCAGCGTCAAGTCCTCACGGTCCAGCTTAGGGACACATTTGAGAGGCATCACAGAAAACACACAAACACACCCGTACCTCACGACGGAAACCACTCAGCTGGGTACCCCCGCACTTACGTAACGAGAAACAATATACGTTAGCTGGAGACTCTGAAATCCCACAACACCACTGGAGAGACGAAGGAGCACATGCAGAGACAGGGCCAGCCTTAGTACATGCGATCTTTAAGTCTTTAAGATTACAGTGTCTTGAAATAACAAACACTCCGAAAACACGATTTACTTCTCAGCAGATTGTTTGCATTGTTATCCGAATGAAAGGTCTCAAACGTAAAATTCCTTCGTGTCTTACATCTCAAAGAAAAGAAGAAATTGTCTGACCACAGCTTATTTTTTTTCCATTGAAACAAACATCCACATATTTTATCCAACCCAAGGAAGCAGATGGAAGAAAAATAAAATAAAGAGCAGAGACAGAAACTTAGAACACTGGTCGATGGGGGAACTGGGACACTGGTAGATGGGGGACATTGCTAGATGGGGGAACTAGAACACTGGTAGATGGGGGACATTGCTAGATGGGGGGACGAGAACACTGGTAGATGGGGGACATTGCTAGATGGGGGACATTACTAGATGGGGGACATTGCTAGATGGGG